CTAGGACTCCAAGATCTCTCACAGTTACTAGCATTAAGTCAAATTTCACCTGGTCTATACCTATACAGTTGCCTAAGTGTAAAATGTTACTTTTATCTGCAATGGATTTCATTTTGTCAGATTGGGCCCAGTATTCAATTTGTTAAGATCTTTTTAGATCTTGAACTTGTCTTCTGGAATGTTGGCTATTCCTGCCAGCTTAGTGTCATTTACAAATTTGATGAGTCCTCCTTTAATTCCCCCATCTGGATCATTTATGAAGTTACTAAAGAGTACTGGGTCTAAAATGGAACCTTGGGGTACCACTCTGATTACTTCCCTCCATGTGGATGTAGTTCAGTTGAGGATTACACATTTGTCAGCCAGCTACATAGTACTCTCAGCTACATATCCTTAGGAATCCACACTGATTTTTTTTTCTAACAGAAGGCTGTCTATATTCTATGCCAACTAACAAATGCAATAGTTGAAACCTTTTTCTAAAATTCATTTAGTATCTGTCTTCCTATAACTAAAAGGAACTATTTTAAGGTGACCCAACTTTTTTACAATGAAAAGGAGGACACAAATAAATTGAAGAAAAATATATCGTAAATAAAAGAAACATTTTATTCATTGCAACAATAATACAGAATACACTATAATATGATAACTGCATAATAAAAAAAACCGGCCCATGGTGTACCCAGCCCTGGCGCCCTCCTCTTGTGACAACAAAGTGGCTGAGGACGCAGCGGGGGCAGCTGCTGGGCCGGGAGCAGCAGGGACCCCCGATGATGCTGCAGTGGCCACCGCCGGAGCTGCTGCCTCCCGTCCTGCTCCCCCTCCCCGGCCGTTCGACTGAGGACGCGGTGGGGGCAGCAGCCGGGCCGGGGCCGGCGGCGAACCCCGATGATGCTGCAGTGGCTGCCATCGTGCAGCCACTGCTGCCACCAGAGCCGCTGCCTCCTGTCCTGTTCCCTGTCCCCGCCTGTTCAGCTGAGGATGCGGCAGGGCAGCGGCCGGGCCGGGGGCAGCAGCGGCGGGGACCCCCAACAATGCTGCAGTGGTCGCCACCGTGCTGCAGCCACCGGAGCCGCTGCCTCCCGTCCTACTCCCCCTCCTCACCCATTCAGTGCCGTCTGCCTTTCGTTCTCTCTCTCCTCACTTGGAGACAGAGGGAGAGAGACAGAAAGGGAGAGAGAGGAAAGAGAGAAAGGAAAGAGAAAAAGGAAAGAGAAAGAGAGAGGAAAGAAAGAGGAAAGAGAAAGAGAGAGGAAAGAGAGAGGAAAGAGAGAGATAAGAGAGAAAAAGAAAGAGGAAAGAAAGAGAGAGGAAAGAGAAAAGAGAAAGATAGAGAGAGAAAGAGGAAAGAGAGAAAGAGGAAAGAAAAAAGAGAGGAAAAAGAGAGGGAGAGGAAAGAGAGGGGGGAAAGAGGGAGGGAGAGAGAGGAAAGAGACACACACAGAGAGACCTTTTTGACATCTAAAATGAAGATAACACTGCATATATCCTTTTTTACCTTTATTTTATATAGATATACACACAAATACATATACATACATACATACATACATACATACATACATACATACATAATATATATATTAAAGGTAAAAAAGGATATATGCAGTGTTATCTTCATTTTAGATATCAAAAGGGTTTTGCGGCTCCCAGTGTTGTTTTCAGTGGGAAACATGTCCAAGTGGCTCTTTGAGTGTTTTGGGTTGCCTACCCCTGAACTAGGAGATGGTGTAATTGGGTAGCAGGGAGAGGTGCAAAGTTCCTGCCAATTTGCCTTCGCTGCAGACAACTTACATGTGCAAAGTTTGCCGGCTGGGTGTTTTGGCATGCTCAGCAGCAATTCCTATTGGCTTTCGAAAGCCAATAGGGGGAGTAGCACAGCTCATGCAAAAGTTGAAAAAAAACCATCAAAAAAAGGTGCCGGTAACACCGTTCTGAGTGTTCTATGAGAAAAAAAAAAAAAAAGCCCTGCAGATTAGTCTTCAAATATCGAAAAGGAGGACATGTAGGAGGACACTTTTCGAGGGAGGACAGAACTCACAAAAGGAGGACTGTCCTCCCTAAAGGAGGACAGTTGGTCACCTTAACTATTTTGTATCTAGCAGTCTGGGACAATGGAAAACAAGCTTTATCCTTCTGTGAATATAAGGTCCTTATATTCTACGAAAGAATAAGTTACCTTCAGGTATTTTCAGAATAGTAACATATCTCCAGGTAAGTCATCTTACCATCTCCCAAATCATTTAAACCCCCTTTACAGGAATTCTTCCTAAGGTGTAAAGCCTTTAACTGGATATACCTGAGATGGTTCTGATAAACTGTTTTGCCCCAGCAATAAATATCCTTGTCCACCTGTTCAGGCCAAACAACCTACAGAATGATTGAATTCTAAACAAACTAAAAACTGTCTTGAAAGTTAATCTGTGCATGCCTGTGATAAAAGAGCAATGCAACAGCAGGTTTGACTGGTAAGAAACAAAGAAATAACTTCATGATCCTTGACCTCTGTTGGAGTAAACAGAGGCATAGGGGCTGTGGAAAGAGTACAGCAATGTACTGTATTACAAAATGTACCATTACTTCCTTTTATTTGGAAACGACCTCTTTTGATGCAATATAATACTGGATCTGTCTTTTTTTGTAAACACTATTTTATTGACTCAGATGCAGTTTGAAATCAACTTTTCAAGAACTTTTTCCTCCTTCTTAACCCACTTTATTGGAATTGTATTTCCTAAATGAAGACTTTTGCATTGTCTATTCAATTTCAATAAGATATTATCTAGGGCTAGGCCAATGATTCTCAACTTTTTCTTCACCACTGATCCCCTTTAAATACTTTTCTGGCCACAGGCTATGGCCATAGACCCCCCCCCCCAAGATTTAACTCAAGATTTAAATCATAAATTTCTTCAAGCTTTCACAAACCACAGGTTGAGAACCACAGCTCTATCCTATTAAGACCAATCTGAGTTTTTGATTTATTTGGCTGTTTCACTCAGATTATATAATTGGCCAATTTTATAAGCATTTTTCCACTTCTTCACCAAAGCCCTTTAATAAAAATGTTTCAAGTCGGACTATTTTGAAATCTGGGACAAATTTTATTGCTGGTATCAGTCAAGGAGAACTACTCAGGCTTTAAATTAGTGTTAAGATTGTGGTATATAAAACTGTATACTCTAGTATATAGAGAAACAAATTTGACACTGTATTATATAGGAAAATATGTATATATAGAGATTAGGAATTATATGTATGACAAGGAACAAATTGTTCGGATTATATACACTGGAACGACATGTTATGTCCTTTTCTTTGTTTTAACTGTTTTATTAATAAAAAACTTTAAAAATAAATAAATAAAAATGTTTCAAGTATATGACTTAGGACTGAATGTTGTGGCACACCATTTAATACTTCATTCCAAAAATCCAAATGAGTATTCTTTCAATTTGATTGTCTGATGCGCACACAATAGCCCATATATTTTGCTAATCAGGTTGATTAGCTTGCTAATCAGAATGTCACGGCTACAGTATTTCCACAATCCATTAAGGAAGCTACTTAGTCAAATAATGAGAACAGGTTAATAATGTGAGCATACATCTTCTTGACAAATTTAGACATTGCTTATTCCTAGTTTATTAAATAAATTTCAATTGGATAAGCTTGCATAACATACTAAGCCATGAGCCATGCTCTGTGAAACACAATAGCTAGGTTCAGTTAGTATTGAAACTAAGCCTATGATTTAACACATATTCCACAACCAGACCAATATACTATATACTGCTGTATATAGTGTGTGCATGGGGAGGGGTGAATATCAATATGTCTCAGGCAGCAACATATCATGGGACTGCTCTCATCTTGGTGGTTTAGTGTGCATTTATTTTTTAATTTGTGCCTTCAAGTGAATCTTGAATTCTGGCACCTATAGGGATTAAGTCCATGCAATTTTCTTGACAATCTTTTTTGGAAGTGCTTTGTCACTGGCATCTTCCTAGGAGTGGAGTGTGGGCCTTCAAGTTAGTTTTTGATTCCTGGCAACTGCTGCAGTCTCCTTGACAAGGTTTTTCGGAAGTGGTTTGCCATTCTCTCCTTAGGGTTAAAGAAGAGGGACTGGCCTAAAATCACTGAGTTGACTTTGTGCTTAAAACAAAACTAGAATTCACAGCCTCTGTCTGTATATGTATGTGTACACATACACTCTTGCTATAGATACTTTTAATTGGATTTCATGTGTGTGATTCCCCCATAAGTTGTTTGATTTTGCCTTGTATAGGTGGTGTTACTATTTAAGAAAAGCTTGGATTTAGATATATAATGGATCTTAGCATGGGTATTGTACTTAAGAAGCCGGATGTAATTCAAGCTTTTATAACTTTGAATACAATAAATTAAGTGTATTTTGTCCCTTTAACGAAATACATTTTAAAGAATAAAATCTAGCAAATTTCATTTCAGTTTAGCCCCATAAGCCACGTGAGACGTCGAGGAAATTTGCACTTTTTAATATATATTGGCTTGGTGGTTAAATCACTGCCTAGTATGTAAACTGCCCAGGTTCGAATCCCATAAAGGGTGTGGCTAACTAAAGAGAGCAGAATGAACTCGAAATGGCCATCTTAGTCTCCCAATTTAATTCTTTAATTCTTTGTCAGAAAAAGAAATTTGGACTTGTAATGTTTTGCAGTTGCAACTTGAGCCTGCTTAACGCCTCTAGTCGGGGGCTGCAAGGCAAAAGAGATTGTAAAAAGTAAAACTGCAGTATAGCAGTTAAAAAATGTCAAGGTGTAATCAATTAGACATCTGTCTGAAAAACTTCCTGCATATACTCCCTTGACTCAGAGGGCAAAGAGGGAGGAGAGCCTGTTGCTTGGTGGTTAAATCACTGCCTAGTATGTAAACTGCCCAGGTTCGAATCCCATAAAGGGTGTGGCTAACTGAAGAGAGCAGAATGAGCTCGAAATGGCCATTTTAGTCTCCCAATTTAATTCTTTAATTCTTTGTCAGAAAAAGAAATTTGGAGATGGAAAGGCAAAGACCTGCAGCGGTGTACAAACGTACCAGCAAGCCTCTTGTGAGTTTGAAAGACTCTGCGTCGACACGGAAAGCCTGAGGATCCCACAACCAATGCGGGCAGAGTTCTGTCTCAATTTAAGTGAGGCGTGCGCACGTGGCGGCCTGGTGTTTTCCTGGCAGGCTGCCGTCTTTCAGGTGTTGTTCCTCCAGGCAGCTTCTGCTCTCCGCCCATCGCCTCGCTCGGGAACTGCAGCGCGTCTCTTTCCAGCCTCCCGAAGGCTCCTCCCGCCCGGCAAGTCCGCTGCTGCCACCGCTTTCACTTTTCCCAGGTGTAAAGTTTTAAGTCGACACGAAGCGGGACGAGGAGGCGGCGGCAGCTTGGTGCGGAAGAGAGCGAGTCATTTACGGCATGGCGGGAGAGAGGTTCGCCCGCTTCTTCCGAAATAGCCTGGTACAGAAATCGTCTAGGAGAGGTGAGTCCAAGGGGCAGGACCGGGCGAGCTCTCTTCCTCCCACTTGTCCGTCAGTCTGGCGCCAGCCCAGCCTTCGTCCCCTTCTCTTCTTCCCTTCGGTCTTCTTGCTCTGCCTCTCTTGCTCCGCTGTAATTCGAACTCTCGGGAAAAGCAATGTGCTTGCCGATCCAGTTAGTGAATTTGCGCCGTGGGGTGCGCCGTGCCTATTCCGTCCCTGCGGAAGTTTGGGGGGCAGGGCCGATAGAAATGACCATGCCAAGTTTATGCTGGGTCAACCCTTATTCTCTGCCCCCGCCGGTTGGTCAGACGCTGAGCGGTGTTCCCCCACCATGCTTCCGATAAATTCACGGTAGGAAAGTCCCTTGTGTACTTAATATGACGACATCGGAAGGAAACGTTTGGAATAACCGGGAAAACTGGAAGAAGGAATTTTGGGAATTAGACTGAATGAATGAAGTAAACTGACAATAAATAAGCTGAAGCTGCCCGATTTGGGTTTTATGATACTTGATCATACAAGTCCATGTGATAATTATTTAGATGGGCTTTTAAGGTACAAAATGTTTTTGCAACTGGAGATTAGAATTGATAAGGTTTTCAGAAAATAAGAGACAGGATGCAGAAACGAAGGTTATTTTGTGCAGTTTAGTTTCCGCTTAACCAAATTTTAGCTACTTGTTTTTGACAGAATGTAGTCAAGTTGGAGGGAAATAACAATGAGATCTAAGAGACCTTAACAAATACATTGATTATAGCTTTTTTTTTACTGTATACTTTTGGATAAGATGTTGACCCTAATTCTGGTTACTTGTTTGATTAAAGCAAGCACTGGTGGGATTCAACCAGTTCGCACCACTTCAGCAGAACCGGTAGCTAATTTTTTGTTGCCCAGGCCCAGAATGGACTTCTGATGTGGCATCCACACAGAGAACTGGTTGTTCACATATTTGAATCCCACCACTGGAATTAAGGTTATTCTATTTTATTATACCAGTGTAAAAGGTCTTGGCCTCTTTCATTTGTGCTGTAATGTACATCTGGCCTTTAAGAATACCTGTGATGTTTCTCCATGTTGAATGGCCATTTAACAAGGTAGCTTGCTGGGAAATTCAAGTTACATTATTGAAAAGGATTAAGTATAAATGTATGACAGTGTGTATTGGTGAGTCCAGATGGATTGATTCAGCATCAAGGCTGGGATTATTTTATATCAAGTATGAAGTAAACTCAGATGTGTAACAACTTTGTATCAGGAACCAGGAAGTGCATATGTGGAGCAGGTTAACAACTCCCCTTTCTGTTCTGTTCACAAAGTAAATGTTTCTAATCTACAACACTGCAGATTGAATGTAATTCATGTAACAGCCAAAATCAAATACAGAATATAGTTCTTTGTAGAGATAGTCCTTGATTTACAATCATAGTTGGGACTGGAATTTCCATCACTAAGTGATGTGGTCCTAAAGCAAAATGTCCTGCATAGCTTAATGACAGCAGTCCCTGCAGTCTTAGTTGCCTCATAATTCCTGTTAAGCAGGAAGTGGAGGGAATCCTAGGTAAGGAGCATGGGGTTGCTTCCTTTTGAGGGCCAATGCAGGTTGTGCACAATTGAGGGAGGAGGCTACTGTGATGTGGCCTGAGCTCAGGAAGGCTGGGAAAAGAATACACTGCAGTCAAGCGCTTCTTGATGCTCTGTGGCTCTGGGAGTGCAAAATGACTCGGAGCTGCAATGTATCAGAAAGCCTTTCTGCACTGTGCTGTTGAATTGGGATGAGGATGGTTTCATATGGCACAAAGAGGCTTCCTGGTGTGGTGGAGCTCTGGGGCTGCAAAAAGCCCTAGTGGCACAGTGCACCAGGAAGCTCCTTTGTGTTGCATCCAGCTGATCTTTGTCACCTTCTTGCTCCACTTCTGATAAGGTGTGCCCAAGCAGCTGCTGACTAGGTAAGGCTTTCTTCCCTGTAATAGTTTCCTCCCAAGATCTGGGGAGGTCTGCCTTACATGGCCAGCAGCTGCCTCAGGAAGAGCCAGGCCATGCCTTCATCTGCAGGAAGGAATAAGAAGTTGACAAAGGTCAACTGGAGTAATGGAGCGAAGGGTGACAGGTGGCCAAAAGAGCTTAGTTGAGAAGGAAGTGGGGGCATTTAATCCATCCTAGCACCTTAAGTGTGGATGGGCTGCCAAGCCCCCAAATTTGGATCACTTGACCGCGGGGGTGCTGCCACAACCATAACTGCAGGTACAGGTCATAAGTACCTTAAGAACTCTCATAATTTCAAATTGTCATTGAATGAATGGTCATAAGTTGAGGCTACCTGTAAAGTATTTGCCCCTTTCCATTTTTCTGAATATGAACATATCTTTACCTCTTAATGTTTTCAGAGTTTTATGTGGGGCTACTGATATGTAAAGGGGGGGGGGATCTCAAAAATAAGTAAAGCAGAGTTGGTAGAAGAAAGTGGTGGATGAAAAATATCCTCTTTTGTGATAGTTACTGGAAGCAGAAGATAAGATGGTCTTCTGCTCTCTGGTTTTTGCTGCAGAGTGATCACTGCAGAGGATAGATAGAAAGAGGCATGCTACTTCTCTACTCTCCTGCATCCCCCACTTCTCCAGCTGTTCAAAGCAAGATAAGCAGAAAAGGAAGGGGAAAACAGACACAGCGTTTTGGAATGAGTATGCTGATTTCAAAATTCCAGGGCTGATTCTACATCTTGTACTTTTACCTATAGTACTGGGTACTTTTATTTAGTTTTAATTCCTGAAATAAGTTAAATATTAAGGTAAAGTGAAATAAAATAGAAAAATGGTATCAAAAGGAGGAAATATTAACAAAAGTGTATAAAAAGGAGCTTTGTTAAAACAGGTGTTTTAGTCCAGAAATCTCTTAGGCATGGATGTGTTTTTTGCTCTCTGGTACCATGGAATGAACACCCAGGGAGATTTGAGAATTAGCACCAAAATAGCCATCAACTCCTCTCTCTTCTCTCTCCTTCTTCCCCAGCCAGTCATGCTAAGAAAAACCTTGGATGTAGAGTTGGGAGCAGTGGCAATTCTCTTGTGCTTTAGCTTTAATTTAACTGGAAAAGAATGTTGCTCAATAGTGACAAAGATGACGGAATTCATATGTGGTGCTACTTTTGCAGATTTCAGTTGTGCAATCCAAGAAGCAACTTTGCAAGCCCTTTTCGTAACATTTTAGATCTATTTTTTTTGTGTGAAATAATGAATGTTTATATGAATGTGATTCTTCAGTTTTTTTCTGATTTTTAGGTTTATTTTTCAAAATAATAGAGGTTTTAACTAAATCATACAGTATATTAGAAAATCCCCATCCCTTTTGAGGTATTACTCTACAATAATTTTATATTTATGCATGCCTTTTGTTTTGGAATACACATTTTCCAAATAATTTTTTTCAGGGTTTTTCCAGGTTAAAGACACTAGCAATATCTGAAAAAGTTGTAATAATTTGGGAAATGTAACCATTTTTAGAGGTGCAGCTCTCCTAAATAGGCTTAATAAGCGCCTAACTAAGCCTGAAGTTTAATTTTATAAACTACAAATTATAATTTAGCATATCACTTTGGAAATATATCTTGGAATTAGCACTATAGCATTTTATGTCTATAATGCAAATCATAAAGCAAGATTTGTTTCTTAACTCATTCTATATTGGAAGCAATTTTGATGAACAGAGCTTTGGTCTTTTAAAAATTTATTGTAAATTCTGCTCTCCTCTTATTTTGGTATTTCCTTACAAAAGCTAATATTTGTTTGGCTTCGATAGCATCAAAGCCATGAAAAAGCATTTACAAGTGGGCAACCTATGGAGCTATCCTGTCAATATTTAAATTATTCTATAGTTCTAATTGGAGGGTATTCACTGACATTACATAGAATAGAGGAGCAAGTGGGAAACTATATTTTGTTCCTATATTCAGTTCAAATAATTGACTCTTATAATCACATTTGATTCAAATACAGCTTTCAGATTATATGTATATGTTTAATTTATATTTTTCTAATGTCTTGAGCAAAATAGCCATTACAGTATTGTGTGAACTAAACCATCCCATTAAAAGCTATAATATAATTGGTTGGTCTGTGCTGAGCATGCCCAATAACCACAGCCAAAGTAGTTAATTAAGAGTGGCTTATAGTTTTAGCATGTTTTTCAAATGCAGCTGATGTACAAGATGTCAAGGGTGACTGGGTGCTGACTTGATTATATGGCAGCATGGAAATGTGTTCTTTCTTCTCCAAGATTTGTTTCTGCTTTGGTGATGACATTGCTCACCTCTTTATCTATAGAATCTGCTGTCTAAGGCAAACACAGAAGGGATTTTCCTCTACACTCCTCGTTTACTTAAAACTTGATTTTTTTCCTTCAGGCAGTTGAATCCACCTATTGGCAAAAATTGTTAAACATTGCCTCATGCAGCCTGATGCAGTTATTATCTGTAATTTATTGTTTGACTAACTCAGAAGAGCTTCTTTGCATTTCTATATACATATTATTTATTTGTTTGTTTATTAAACTTTTATGCCACTCATCTCCTCCACAAGATGACTCTTGTTCTGTTCTGCTGTTTCTTTCCGTCCTTTCTGACCCATGGATAAAGATTTATATTGATTTTCTGACCTTTACTAGACAGTGGTAGAGAAATACAATTTAGACAACATTTAAAGAAGATTGTTTTGAAAAATTGCCACCATAGTAATAGCAACATCCATTCAAGGAAAGCCTGGAGGAAGCAACAGATTTTTACGTAGTATCTACCTGCCAAGTGGATGTCAGCGAAGGCATTCAAGAGAGCAGGTGTCAGTGTAGAAGTGAATGTAGAATACTCTCGATTCAGAGCAGGAACCCAAATAAAAATTGTGAACAGATGGTTCAGGTCATCAACGCTTTCTTGGGGGAAATTTTGTATAAAGACTGAGGATGTGTGCAGCAATAGATGATAATGGATGGGAGTTGAGAACACTGTTAATGTGAATGGTAGCTATAAATGTTTGCTAGTTATGTATTGCTAATGAGAAAGAAACTGCGGCAAGGGTTTCTGCACCGGAAGGTAAGACTTGTTAGGGCTAGTGTCTAAAGGAAACAGATAGGAAACAAATGGTGAGGAATGGTTTCAATTTGTTATCTTTAGAAGCATTTATTTCAAGACAGATAATTCACTTTCCTTGACATGGAATGTCTGTCTGATCTTAGCTGAGATTTTTACATTTTACATATAACATTGCTGTTGTTTTGCATTACAGGTGACTCCCAGGATGCAAATCCTACAGAAAACAAATCTGGTGCTGATATAAGGCTGGGAAGCAGTTTCTCTTATTCAGCTGGACACCCATTTTTTGAATACCTGGTTGTAGTCTCACTTAAAAAGGACACAAAGGGAAATTATGAGCCCAAGATTACCTATCAATTTCCAAAGGTAAGGAATTGAACATAATGATTTCATCATGTGTAGAAATTAGAACGTTGCTAGGAGCCCTTTTCAGATATTTCTCACAGATATATATGTGCAAAACCTGGAGCAACAACTGTGGCTGGCTGTGCTCTAATTGCATTTCATTCAGTGTTCTCTCTCCACTCCTCTTTAATATCTACATGAAGCTTTTGGGTGAGATTATCTAATATGGGATAAGCTATCATCAGTATGTGGATGATACTCAGTGGAACATGTCAGTAAGTGATGCTGACTGCCCTTTTGCAATGCTTCCAAGTTTACCAATGAATTGAAGGAGATTAAATGGTTGAAGAGATGCCTGGAAGAAGAAGAAGATTTTATCTACCTAGAAGCTTCAACCACTCTTCATTTTGCATGCCAACTTATAGCAAATGTAGATAGGGAAGGAGGCACCAAGATTGCAATGGCCAGATAGTTTGTCTTATTTGAGACTACTTGAAATATATCTGTTCCCTAACAAAAAAACGTGCATGGATGTCTGCTAAAGCTTAGGTTGTGTTGGTCTAACTGTGTGTTTCCCCAAAGTAATCTCCTTAGTTAGAATCTGTGCCCTTTATTTTCTGTTTTTGACTATCTGGGACTCATTATCTTTTGCTTTGTGGCTTTGCTTCATATGGTTTCTATCACAGTGCAGCAGTTTGATTTCATTTGTCTATATATTTTCATCACTCAACTTATGTAGCAAGGAGAAGTATATGATAGATTCTTAAGGGAATCATAAAGGTTAATTTGCCTTTGGCTATGAAATGACACAAGCTACCAGAACCACCAGGTATGAATACAAAATGCTTTAGATGTAACCTGCTGTTTCCACTGCTGTTCCACCTGCTGTTCCACTGCTTTCATTGCTGAACAAGTGCTCTTAAAACAGGTGCTCTTAAATTTCATACTATGGTATGGCCTTGTTCCTAAGACATTCTATAGAGCAGCGGTTCTCAACCTATGGGTCGCGACCCCATTTGGGGTCGATCAACTATTTCGCGGTTGCCAAGCAAGGCTGTCTGCCATTTTTTCCCCTTTTCTGGCGGGTGCCTTACCTCCCGTGGGCTGGGCCAGCTGGTAGCCCAGCTGGTGGTTGGCCTGCTCCGTCTCTGCCGCTTGCCAGCTACGCCTCAGCCGGCGCAGGGGGCGGCACCACACATGTGCAGTGCTCCCAGGCAGGGAAAATCCTCGACTTACGACCGGTTGGGTAGTCCTCAACTTACGACTGATTTAGTCCTCGACTTGCGACCGGTTTAGTCGTCGACTTACGACCAGTTTGGGGGTCGTGGCATTAAAAAGGTTGAGAACCACTGCTATAGAGGCATCAAATACAGTATCTCTCCCTTAGATTAATAATCAAGTTAGAAGCATTTCCCTACTATTTCCTACTACTCATCCATCTTTCTACTGGCAGAAAGTATAACACGATGACGTTTAGTTTTTCCCATTGCTGAACCTGCCCTGCTTCTTTTGTGTCTTTTCATGTTGCTGCTGTCAACTGATTTCAAAGTAAGGCGTGACAAAATCTAATGGATTTTATATATCTTAATGCTGTCCTTGGACAAAGTTGGAGTAATAAGGCAAATAAACTAACTCCAATTTACCACTGTGTCAATCAAGGGCTGAGATAAAACACAATAATGGCAACATTCAGGGGGCCCTGAAAAAGATATTGCTAGACATCTTTGTGCTGTGGTTATTTGCAAATGGGGAAATCCCTAGATCTGTTTACATTCTGATGAGGAGAAGATTTCTTTATATGAAGTTCCGCTTCATGATTGTGAATGCATAGAAGGAAAGGTATGCAGGAGCACAGCTAAATTGCTGCAAGTTCTTTACTGTTTTTTTTTTTCCTTTTGCAAAATCCTGCTTAGTGTTGAGCACCAACCAAACTGTATATATATGGGATCTAGGAAGCTGTATACAGGATCAGACTGTCAAAATAGTACTGTTTATTCTGGCTAGAAGCAGCTTTCAGATCTTTCCTGATCACCTGCCATCTCAGAGGCCCATAGTCTGAATATCAGGATTAAATATAGCCTTCAGAAAATATCACATTAATGTATTTAATTAATGTTTGATCATTTGTTTGAAAATGCCAGAATATAAATTGGATTTTCTGCCCACAAAACATCTGTTTTACCACTGAGTAATGAGTTTAAAAATATAATACCAGTTTTTGTTTTTTCTTTTAAGACATTCATTATAAGGAGATTAAAAATATTTTCTTGTTGAAATGTGGATTTGGAAAAAAGTTAGAAAACAATTATTTGGCTACACATTGCTAATAATTATGTTGGATGTCCCTTGAGAATGTAGAAAGTGCTTTATATCTTAGTAATTTTACAAACATAACCATCATTTTGAGAACAATAATTCTAGTATGTACAATATATGCAGTGGTGGGATTCAAATATGTGAACAAACAGCTCTCTGTGTGGATGTTGCTTCCGGAAGACCATTCTGGGCCTGGACAACAAAAAAATAGCTACTGGTTCTGCCAAAGTGGTGCGAACTGGCTGAATCCCACCACTGAATATATGTAATTATCTGTTTATAAGAACTGAAGGTTTGCTTCTGAGATTAGTCCTGACAAAAGTGGATGACCTTGAGCTTTATATCAATTCTCCAGAGATAGTTATACAATAGTACACATACCATATACAATTAAATATGCATCTGTTGAGTAAGCAGACTCTGTCTTTACTTGTGGTTTTTCATTTTTGCATTCTTAACAAATCTAGACATTGGTTTTTCTAGATTAAATTATGAGGAGAGTATCAGTCTGGTGTAGTGGTTAAAGCATCAGGCTAGAAACTGGGAGACTGTTCTGCCTTAGGCGCAAAGCCACTTGCATGACCTTGGGCCAGTCACTTCCTCTCAGCTCTACAGGTATTTTTCCAGGCACTTGCCATGAGTCAACACTGACTCAAAAGTACAGATAGAATAAAATTGTGAGAGAAACTTTTTTGCATCTACTTTCTGGTTTGTGTTTCAGCGTGAGAATCTACTGAGAGGACAGCGTGAAGAAGAGGAAAGATTGCTTCAGGCCATTCCCTTGTTCTGCTTCCCAGATGGTAATGAATGGGCACCCCTCATGGAGTATAAGAGGTAACTGTCCTGGGATAGTATACCAGTCTTACAAGAGACCTGGTGTTGAATGCCATGAAAACAAAAGCAAATACAAACAAAGTTCTCGTTTTCCCGGTTTCTATATAACAATCAGTTCCGAATTATTGTACTTTTATTCCACTCAGCGGAATAAATATATGTACTTGAATAAACAAATAGTATTTGTTTAAATCAGTATGTACTTTGGAACTCTTCCTTCCCTTTTTAGGGAGAAATACTATTCTTGAATTTTCCAGTACAGCTTGTTTGAGAAAATTTACCTGACAGGCTATTCAGCAAGCAAATATGGCACCTTTCCTGCTGTTGCTTGAAGATCTTTAGCCAAATGCTAATTTGGTGGCTTCCTGTATGTAGTAAATAGAGTGTTTTGAATCTGAATACAAATGGCACTTTGGAGGAGCGAAAGGTTGCAATCTTATGTTCCGTAGCAGTAGTTTAGATAATCTGCAACCCCCAAAAGATGCTGACAGAGGAGGAAATGGGCTGTTTGAACTGGATTTTATTTTAAATAGTCATATTCCTATTGTTTTGTTTCAAGGGAGTATTTTAATATGAATTCTATTTGATAGTTTGGTGATTAGATGGTTTTTCATGCTTTTTTGTATAGTGCTGTGGGCACCACAAAGAGAATTAGAACTGGTAATTATAATAAGTTAATATTCCTAAGAGATTTTTTGTGGGGGGCTCTAACTACATATGGTTGGGTAAGTCATAGCAATCTCTTGGCTTTGTGGATAAGCTTAACAGATCCGTGCATTCTGTTGGGCCATGAATAATCAGAATGGCCTTCTTGGGAATTTTTGGTATGGTAGCCTCAATAGATTTTGGATTTTAAGCAGATTCTCTCTCTTTTTTTTTATTATTTCAGTAGTGCTGGCTAAAATAAATGCTGTGCTGAATAGCCTTTCTTGTATAATTTCCATGCAATGTTTTGAAAATTATTTCTTATAAATATTATAAACATTTGGTTATTTTTATGTTTTGTTATTTTTATAAATTTTGTACATATTTTGCGGTTGATGTTCTATCCTGATAGCTAGAGGTTGTGAGAGTCTGGATGAGGAACAACAGGCTTAACTGAACCCTGGTAAGCCTGACTGGCTCTGGATTTTGGAGCCCTCTGGTTTAGGGACTATGCTATGAATCGAGTAGCACTGCTCCAATCAGACCTGGTGTGCAGAATGGGCAGCCTCCTGAGTCATGTCTCCTACCCGAAGAACAGGTGGCAGTTGTGGCTAGGAGCTTCGTATTGTTACCATTTGTGCCTATTCCTGAGTCAGGAGGTGTCTTGGTCATCTCCCAGATAGCCTATTGCAACACACACTATACGGGTCTGCTTTGGAGAGTATTCTGAAGCATTAACTGGTTCAAAATGTGACGGGGCAGGAAGTTACGTGAGCCTCTACAATGGCACAGGCTACATCTCTGCTCTATGAGCTACATTAGTTGCCAGTTTGCTTTGGAGTCCAATTCAGGGTACTGTTTTGCCCTTTAAAGCCTTTCATGGCATGGGACCAAGTTGATTGAGGGACCCTTCCACCCAATTACATTTGCCCATCATATTATGTCCAGTAGATTAGAATCAGACCTTTTCTGCTGTGATTCCTACCCTGTGGAACACCATTCCCCTTGAGGTGAGACTGGCCCCACCCTGACATTCTTCCACAAGTCCCTTAAGACATGATTGTGACATCAGGCTTGGGGATCTCAGAGAAGTGGCAAATTAGTGAAATGGCTATATTGCCTATCATGATAGCTCTATCTGCTAATTTGTCATTGGTAACTTTGACTGGTGTTTTTAATTTAGTGTTTTTTAAATGTTTAGGTTTCATAGTACACTGCTCAGAGTCATGTTCTGGGGAGCTATATAAATATGATAAACAAACAAAACTAGTAACATTTTATGTCTTTTATTCCTTACAGTGAAACATTTTCTTTTGTCCTTACCAATATTGATGGGAGTAGAAAAATTGGCTACTGCAGAAGACTGTTGGTGATTATTTTCTCTTTTAATTTGATTGTTTTGAAAAAAACAATATTTGGCTTGTTAAGAGTTTACTTGGCTGACGTATTGGATCGATTGAGGCAATACATTCCATGCTGACATATCTTGTCTTATAATCGATAATTCCTTAGAATTGCAGAAAATAAATATGTTTCATCATGATTAAAAAAAATATTACAAGTAGTCCTTGACTTAGGACCATAATTGAGCTCAACATTTCTGTTGTTAAATGAAACATTTTTTAAGTGAGTTTTGCCCGATTTTTCAATTTTTCTTGCCACAGTTGTTAAGTGAATCACTGCAGTTAAATTAGTAACATGATTGTTAAGTGAATCTTGCTTCCCCATTGACTTTGCTTGTCAGAAAGTCACAGCAGGTGATTATGTGGCCCCAGGACACTGCAACTGTCATAAATATGAACCAGTTGCCAAGCATCTGGATTTTGATCACATGACCACAGGGAAGCTGCAACCATGATAAGTGTGAAAAACAGTCATAAGTCATTTTTTTCAGTTCTGTTGTAACTTCGAATGTCACTAAATGAACTGTTGTAAATTGAAGACTACCTATATTGTCTATTTCAGTGTCAGGTTCTTGCTAAATTAGAAAGCTTTAGTATAAATAGTCCTTGACTTATGATTGATCGCTTAGTGACTATTCAAAGTTACAGCAGACACCCCCCCAGCTACTTACAACCTGATCCCAAAGTTACAGCTGCTGCAGAGTCCCCTGTAAATCTCCCCCCATCCTTCACTGAGTTCCTGCAAGCCTTAGTCCTGCTTCATACGTCATTGGGCCCCACATCCTCCTCATTACTCATTGCACACTTACCTTTCAAACATCTCTGGAGCTCCAGAGCTTCAGTTAGGGAAGGAGAACAGGCTGCTCCATTGCTGGGCCCTATAGGGCGATCCTGGAAGCAGCCACCATTTTTTGAGCAACTGCATTGTATTGTGACCGCTTGGAAAATTGCAACCATTCCACACAGCTCAGCAATAGAGCAATGTGCTTTGCTTCCCTAACGCAAGGTCTGCAATATTCCACAATCCACAGTTATGGAATTTCTAATCCAACAATCTTAAGGATACCACATTGGAAAAAGTGGCATTTTAGTGACCTCACATTTAAACCTTGAGCAGGCTATTTTTAGGAAGAATATTTGGCTTCTGAGCATTCCTGTATGCTCAGAAGCCATATTAGATCGAAGTTTTTATTGAGCACATGGATAAAATATAGAATTGGAAAGGCATGTTATGCACTGAATTAGTTTAATTATGACAGTAGTGTTCACATTTTGTTAGTATGAATAGGCTAGCATCTTTGCAATGAATTATCTGTAGTTAGATTTGCAATTGCACTAAGCTATGGTTTATTTAATGATAATTTGATGGAAGGAATATTATGTATATTTGCAGCCTTGAGTTCTTTGTAAAGTAATAAAGCTGGGATAAAAATCTAATGAATAAACTACACAATATTTAAGCCAAAACCCAAATAGTCAGTTTGGCTTAGTGCAATATCTAAATTTATATTTTAGATAACCAAACAGTGAAACTTAAAGGGTTTGGAAAGCAGCCAAATATTTGTTCTGTTAGAATATAAAAGCAGTTATATCCAACTTCAGAGAACTTGACTTATTTGGGGAATAAATAAAAATCTTGTATTGAAAAATATAAGCCAGAAAAGTAGCTTTAGCCCACTCTGGATTGCCCTCATGACAAACATACCTTTTATAGCTCTGTAACTTTGGACGGAGCTGAAACTACGTTTCAAAGTTCTGGACCATCTTAGATAAGAAGAACACTAGATTTATTGCACCAATAAAAATTATAACATTGGTCTTTATTACTTCTAGCTTTATTAATAAACAAAGAGTAAATGAGAAATGACTACCTTTCACAAACATGGAGGTGAAAGTTAACATGGAGAGGAAAGGTAGAAAAAAACCAGACCGGTGGTTTGAAATAGGTAGAGAATACCAATAATGATTCCTTGAGACAGCCAGCTAAAATGTCTGGATAGAGAACTATAGGAATGAAGCGATTTGCTGGTTGGTGGTAAATGCATGTTTTTAATTAATTATGCTTCAGATAAAATAAGAGAAAAGATAAAAAAGAGAGAATGAAGGAAGAAATGGGATAGCACATGTTTTTAGAAAATCAAGAATGAACACAACTGATTACAACAAAGCACTGTGATTGAATATGGCTGTCCTTAACTTGGCTAGTTTGGACCAAAGATAGTTGTTGCATTTGGGGAATATGCTACTTCATCTTTCCACATAGGCTGGACGATTCAGGAGTAAAGATGGGGTTTAGATATTTGGAGAAAATATCCTTTGATGAGAAAGCCATGCCTATTGTATTTTCTCTGGAAACCTAGCAAAAAAAAAAAAAACTATAGGCAATAAACAATGTCTGGCTTTCAAATTCAGGAAGTTCCAAAGACATACATAGTTTGTATTAGGAAACATAGGACAAATAGAAAAGATTCAAAAGTGCAGGTTTTTTAAAAATGTTAAGCTCACACTATCTCATCCACCAACTTATTGATTATCTCATGAGAGGCAGTAATTGATTTGTTTGCTAATTTCTTGATAGTTTCCTCAGATGGGAAGTGAGTTTTCAATACTGTAGAATAGGCTTAGAAAGAGGGAAAGAACTGGCTTATGGAAAGTTTTCATGTCTCAAAGTCGAAAGAACCTCTTTAAGAAGATATTTTCCCTGTGGTTATAAAAGAATGATAGGGTTTGCTTCGGGAATGGTATCTATGTGAAGTGAAATAAGGTTATTTAGGTTAAAAATAGTGAATATGTGGTATGTCTTTATTACCCAGCCACTGTTTATTCCTCCTGTTATTAAAAATTATTTTAAAAAATTATGCTGATTCCAAACAGAATTGCAAATGAGATTTATAAGATTTATAATGGGGTAAGTTTATGTTGAATTGCTGGTGTACACAATCTCATTTGAATTATTTAAAATAGTGTTCTTCAACATGGTGACCGCCAAATGGTTAGATTATGAATTTATAATAAATTAGTCATCTCTTCTAACTAAGAGCCTGATATGTAGGAGTGATAGAACTTGTAGTCAGATGATCATTGATAGCCCAATAATCAAACTGACTTGGGGATGCTAGGATTGGTAGTTAAATATTTATGGTAGTATAAATTGATACTTCATAATTGAAGGTTACAAAGTTGAAAGAAACTACTTTTATATATTCCTCTAAGTTCCTCCCCTGGCCTAATTTATGTATTCACTGATAATTTTATATTTTAATTAAGGGGAAGAAAGAAATAATAATAGCTACTACTGATCTTGATAGGATTAATGTTTTTCCTTGAAATATATAATTTAGTAGTTATTTTGAACAATTGTAAAGATTTGTGGATGTGGACTTGTAGACAACCTAGGGATGAGGAGTTGCTTGAGATGATGTGTGGCCAGGGTTGATGATCTGCTTGGTTGCAGCTGGGCCAGCAAATGTACCATTGAACTACACCCTTCACCTGGTTGCTGGGCTCAGCACTTGTGATGCAGTGTTTTAGTTATGCAGGAAACTGGAAACCTGGTTTCCACGGTCAGTTTATAGGCTATATTTTGAAATGCAGAACCATTTATCTATCCATGACAGATAGGAAAACCCCTTTCTCAGATCTTCCACAATATTTATACTATACAGTGGGTACATTTTGGCCACTAACTGCCACCAGAGGGCAGCAAAGAAATACAACTAAATCTTTAATGCCATCTAGTGGCTAATCAGTTGATTGATTGGCAGATTGATTACCAACAATCAACAATTTAAGAAAGGCCCAAAGGTGCTTTTTAAAAAAGGCAACTGGACTTTCTTTGTTTTGCTTTAAAATGTTTAGCTTCTCATCCAAGAAGCTTCAAGTGAAACAAAGAAAGTCCACTTGCCTTTTGAAAAAGCACTTTTGGGACAATCATGAGCTGGATGGTTAAGAATCTCCATATAAATTTAAGAAAGGCAATTTTTTGCTGCCATCTAGTAACCATTAGGGTTAGGAGAAAAAAAAATATTGGATGCAGTGCCCAAGCACTGGCCTTCTAAGAACTATCGACACATTCAGTATGACAGTTGGTGAAATTTTTTCCTACATTTAGTGATGTAGGAAAATCTTACAATGTCATATGCTTCAGCTGTATAGTTATTTCTGATGTGTGGTAAAAGTGCATTGTAGAAACAGCAACATTTGCGTATCAGGTCCTTTCAGGCCCCTAGTTAGGAGGAAAGAATAGTAAAAGTGGCTTTACAGAAAAGGCTCTAGAACAGTGGTTCTCAACCTTTTTAATGCCACGACCCCCAACCGGTCGTAAGTTGAGGACTACTCAACCGGTTGTAAGTTGAGGACTACTCAACTGGTGCAGCACTGTTTGCAGAATGGGACTTTTGGCGGGCTCAGCAGGGCAGAGACAGCCTGGACAATTCCTATTGGCTTTTGAAAGCCAATAGAATTAGACTCTATTCAAGAGAGTCTATTCTATTGGCTTTCAAAAGCCAATAGAACAGTGGTTCTCAACCTGTGGGTCGGGACCCCATTTGGGGTCGAACGACCATTTCACGGGGGTCGCCAAACAACGCAGTCCGCCATTTTTTTCCCCTTTTCCTTAGCTGTGCTACTCCCTTTTATTCTATTGGCTTTTGAAAGCCAATAGAATGGACTCTCTTGAATAGAGTCTAATTCTATTGGCTTTCCAAAGCCAATAGGAATTGTCCAGGCTATCTCTGCCCTGCTGAGCCCGCCAAAAGTCCCATTCTGCAAATGGTGCTGCACCAGTTGAGTAGTCCTCGACTTACGACGGGTTGAGTAGTCGTCAACTTACGACTGGTTGGGGGTCGCGGCATTAAAAAGGTTGAGAACCACTGCAATAGAATAAAAGGGAGTAGCACAGCTAAGGAAAAGGGGAAACAAAAATGGCGGACTGCGTTGATTGGCGACCCCTGTGAAATGGTCATTCGACCCCAAATGGGGTCCCAACCCACAGGTTGAGAACCACTGCTCTAGAATACGGGTATCAAACTCGATCATGTCAAATGATGTATCATGATGTTTTTTGTCTTTGCGGAGCCGGGGTGGCTATGGTCTGTGCATGATGCATCCGGCCTGCGGGCTGCCAGTTTGACACCCCTGCTCTAGAATATAAAACTTTCTTGGGAGGGAGGGTGTTCCTGGATACTGAAAAGAAATGCAGAGTTAGGGACAAGTAGTAGCATCTGAGTTACACTGTTCCATTTGCAAATGGACTTTAGGACTCTTGGTTTCTATATATAGTACACCACTTGTAATTCATATTTATCCTTTTTTTTTTTTTCTTGTAGCTGCCTGATGCATAGCAATGTTTTTATATTGAGACCTGTGAGGTTGTCACACACTTCATTTTGGAACATTTTACAACTACCACAATTTAGAAACTGAAGCCAGCCGTGGCTTCCTTTTTAATAAGTGGTTTTGTTAACAGGTAGTCTGAAACGAAACACATGTCATATGCCTCACAGAGTTCACTGAGAAAAACCAATATAAAACACAGGTGGCAGCTCAGTGCACATTTCTCTCCTCTCATCCTGTCAGTAGCTCACTCCACCCTGCTTTCACCAGCTTAGTTTCTTCTTTCATTCCTTATTTCTCACATCAATCCCTCACAATCTTAAAGTGCCTTTTTCATAAAGAAGACCTGTTTCTCACATGTTTCTCTTATTGCTTCTTGGAGTTTGCTTGATCTTTAGATATGTATCGAAAACATACTTTGAAATGATCTCTCTGGGTAAAATCAAGGAAACTATTTTTTGTTTTGTTTTATAGCTATCATTTTGCATTGATTGGCTTGCTGCCCATGTATTAATTTTAGAGATGCAATTAAAAAGATAAAAAAAGTTAAGGCAAGCTTGCAGTACCTGACTTTGGAGATTCTTCCCAAACTCTTAAAAAGAACTCCCTCTAGCTCAGATGTTGAGGAAGGAAGAGGAAGGGGGAGCTCAGAATGGGGAAGTCAGCAACATTCTGAGCAGCTGCCCAACATTCTGTCCCATAAGACACAGCTGCAGCTTCTATTGGGCTGAAAATGGTAAAAAGATAAACCGTAGACCAGTGTTTCTCAACCTTGACAATTTTAAGGCATGTGGACTTCAACTCCCAGAATTCCACAGCCAGCAATGCTGGCTGTGGAATTCTGGGAGTTGAAGTCCACATGCCTTAAAATTGTCAAGGTTGAGAAACACTGTCTTAGACGCTCCAACTTGCACAATGAATAGATTAAAAGGAAATATTTATTTTGTATTTTCTTAGGCGATAGTTTACTGAATGAATGGGATACAATGATATAAACATAAACAAGACAAATTGCAAAGTATCTCCCAATTAATATAATGTATTAAATAATGATTAACAGTTTCAGCCATAGAGCAAACTTCTGTAAATGAGTAAGCTGCCGTGACTCAGGATTTTAACGACATAATAAATTAGGGGTTGATGAAGTATAGATGGTTGGAGCAGTGGTACAGCGGCTAAGTCAGTGCCAACAAGTGGAACCTTACTCTCTCTCTGTCCGCAATTATGTAGGGCACAATATCCAAAAAGGATTAAAGTGTTTGCACACTTGAAGGGCTGTTTAATAATTAACAGAAACTGCTTCTGAACTAAGGTGAACATTTTTTTAAAGCTTTGACCTTAAGATGGGAAAAGATGTCACAATCCTTTAGCTCCAGTGGTATTTGCAATAAATATTTCAGTTGTAGGGGTTTAGAAGAAAGGCAACAAGAAAAAATTGGGATAAGCTAAAGCAGGGGTCTTCAAGCTTGGCCATTTTATGACTTGTGGACTTCAACTCCCAGAATTCCTGGCTGAGGAATTCTGGAAGTTGAAGTCCACAAGCCATAAAAGGACCAAGTTTGAAGACCCTTAAGCTAAAGCATGACCATTCTTTGGATCATTTAGGTTGAACAGGCATTCCTATAAGTCAGTGGTTCTCAACCTGTGGATCGGGACCCCATTTGGGGTCGAACGACCATTTCATGGGGGTCGCCAAACAACACAGTCCGCCATTTTTTTCCCCTTTTCCTTAGCTGTGCTACTCCCTTTTATTCTATTGACTTTTGAAAGCCAATAGAATAGACTCTCTTGAATAGAGTCTAATTCTATTGGCTTTCAAAAGCCAATAGGAATTATCCAGGCTGTCTCTGCCCTGCTGAGCCCGCCAAAAGTCCCATTCTGCAAACGGTGCTGCAAGTTGTCTGCAGCGAAGGCGAACTGTCTGGAAGTTTCCACCCCTCCCTGCTGAGCAACTACTAAAAATGTAAGTAAAAGAGGGCCAGGAGTGGGAGGTGGGAGGCCGGTGGGCGCAGGGAGGGTTGCTGGCGCGTGTGGGGCCTGGTGGGTGCCTTACCTCCCTTGGGCTGGGCCAGCTGGTGGCCCAGCCAGTGGTCGGCCTGCGCCATCTCTGCTGCTTGCCAGCCACGCCTCAGCTGGAGCAGGGGGCGGCACCATGCATGCGCGATGCTCCCGGGCAGGGAAAGTCCTCGACTTACGACCGGTTGGGTAGTCCTCGACCTATGACCGGTTGGGGTTGTGGCATTAAAAAGGTTGAGAACCACTGCTATAAGTGAACAGAGTGCAGCTTTAACGTCTTCGTCCCATATCCAGTCTTCCTTGTTTTGCTTCTGATATGATTTTTTTCACTGAAAGAAAAAATATTAATATAGAGGTTTGAGTGGGTAAGATTGAAAAGTATTTCTTTCTTTCCTGAAAATGTTATACTTTAAGATTGAAGTTTGATAGGAATTTAGCATGGCCAGGATTGAGATATACTATCATCATGTCTGATAACCTGGCTGGGAGGCTCCAGAGTCAGAGCCAGCTTATGTCTTCATTCAGTACCTTGTTTAAAGGGGAAAGAGTAATAGGCAGTACACCCTTGCCTCACAAGATATTAAGTTGCAGATTAGATTCTTTGGGGTGGGATATATCTGACTTTTTCTGTTTAAAAATCTCATATCAAAATGATCATATTTCCAAAGTAATAGTGGGATGGAACAGGTAGTTTTGAGACTAAATTTATGTCATACAAATTGTTCTTGGAGGAAATACACAGTGGAGTCATTGGTACACTCTGAGAGTGGTTGTTTTCATGAAGATGTTTTATTATCTGACTAGGTAACACCTTCAGTATGCACAGAGCTATACAGTGCAAGTTGTTCAAGTCTGAGCTGTATTTAAGAAGAAGCTATAGTTAATTGAACTGGCTTGTGAAGAATAAACATTTTTTTGTTTTGTTCACTGTGGGTAGATTGGGCTCCGTCCTGCTTTTAAATCCAATTTGCACATTCTGTGGAAGATTGTCAAAAAGAAAATTATCCAGGATAGTCTCTTTCTTATGTTGTATATTTAATGAGATATTAAGAAAGAGAATGAGTCAGAACATCCAATAATCACAGCGCCAATCTGAGGCTTGGTTTATTTGTTTTTCATACTGAATGATATGTATGTTTATAAAAGTCTGACTCATGTGGTAAAGGACAGGGGTAATCCTGACTCCACAAAGGCCATTTTATGTTCTAGCATATTTATTTGGCCACTCTGAAATCAAGAAAATCAGTTTTGGGTGTTTAAACTTACCTGTAATTTATACCAGTAGTTCTTAAACTTACATTATGCAGCTCTTTCAGTCATCTTTAAAAGTTTTGGAAGACCATCTTAAAACCTAGATGTCAGCAATGTAATGCCTGCATATGCTATAGCACAAATGACCCTTTTTGATAGCTCATGGAATCCCAAAATGGAACAGAATGTTTTTGAATGAGAAAGTCAAAATCATATAAAATCTGGTAACGTTACCAGGTAGTTGCCTGAAAGATTCCAAGATTTGAAGCTAAAAAAACCAAATTTTAGATGTCCCGAGTTTTAGCTATGTGCATATGGACGTGCACCAGAAATTATCAACATTATTTTGGAATACCATTGTTCCCTGGATCAAAAGTTGGGAACTTGGTTAAACAAATATATTTGTGCTATAATAGTTTTGTATATTTCCATAATATAGATGTGTAATTTAATAGTGATGTTTAATTTTAATTTTAAAAGGAAATTTAATGGTGACTTTTTTTCTACATCATTGCTTTTCAGCCTTCTGGACGAGATGCTCGTCTCCCTGAAGTTTATTGCATTGTAAGCTGTCTTGGTTGCTTTGGACTATTTTCAAAGGTATGTTTTCTAGAATAGTCTGTTCCCCTAAATACAAAAAACATTAATCCGTTTGTTAGGTAATAGGCAGAAATAAATGATCTGCTGTTCCTAATCTTGTTTCATCATAAGATGAGCTTTCTATATTTTTCTTCTTCTGATCTTTCACAGAAAAAAGGAAAGGAAGGAAAGTCATGTCCCTCATCCCAAATATTTGGGAAATGGCTGTGGCTACACATAGATATATATTTTGTTCATATAGAGAATTTTCACCATTATTAGAATGGAAAAAGCAATATAGCATTTTAACTTGAATATAGAGAACAGTAGCTCAGTTTAGATAATCCAGCTATTTTGAAAAACTTGGTGTACAAATGAATAATAGAAGAAGCTAAATTTAAAATGTCACCTCAGTTATAGTTTTCAAGGCCAGATGTAACTAAATTAACTTCTTCTCAATTCTTCACAATAACTTCTCAATTAGTTTCCTCTTGTGAAAGGAGAATGAAAATGGCTGGATCCATGTATGTTCTTCAAGCTTAGCTTAACCATTATCTATCACTCTTACTGTTTCTTGACTGTTTGGTTCTTACACCTTGGTTTTGAGGATGAAATGCATTTAAAGGAGACATGATTCAGTAGGAGATGGTATCAGGACTTATTTATTACACATCATTACTTTGCTTAGGACTCTGTTGGTTTTGAATAATTTCGGGAGGAGTAAAGCCACTATCAAGAGTTGAGTTGGCAAGCTGCAAAGTGATGGGTATCCTTTTTCTTCTTATAGATTTTGGATGAAGTAGAGAAGAGGAGACAGATCTCTGCAGCAGTCGTCTACCCCTTTATGCAGGGCCTACGTGAATCTCCCTTCCCAGCACCAGGAAGAACTGTTACCATTAAAAGCTTCATTCCTGAATCCGGAACAGAGGTGTGTGCTTACTTGAGATACCTTTGGCTGATTCTAACGTGACTTGTAGTTAAATGTTATAATTAAAGTAATTATATTAAGCAAATGTATAAACCAATACCTCCCAACAGGTTTTAAGAAAAACAATTGAACATCCATAGAATTAATAAGATTTGTTTGATTAACAGCAGGAAGTAAGCTGTAAAAAGTCTGAGTTGAGAGGACTAACCTCTATTTGAGAGAGTGTCTATCAGTAATATCAGACCTTCCATATATTTGCCCACACCCTATCCACAATGAATTGTTTATAAATATATAAATATATATAATTATTCTTTTTGTCTGAATGTATTCCAAAAGGAGCAATTGTGCCCAAGTAGCAACCATAATGAATAAATGTCACCTAAATTGCCAGTTGTCCCAAGGATTGAAATTGGTCTCCCAGGATTATTGGAATGAGGAAAAAAGGGGCATATTAACAACCTTGTCCTCAGCTCCACTTTTGGTTGTCCTCCTTCTATTTTAAGAGGCAAATTGGACTTCCGGTGGTTAAGGCGGTGGAGATGGCGGCTACTTTGTAGCCATCCTCCTGAGATGGTGTTAGATCCGCGGAGCACAGCGTTCATCAGCTGGCCCGCGGCTCGCAATCCTCTTCCCGGGCGAAGGGAAGGGGTAGAGATCGCATGAATAGAGGTAGAACCTCTTAACCTTCCCTGGATTTTTATTTTAGGGGGGTAGAAAGAGTGCTCCCTCGGAGTTCATTGCCTTCTCCGCCTCTCAGCTGTCTTTGTTTCTTCGGAAACAAAGCGAAACGCCGCTACCATCTCCGTATTTAAAGTAACCGTGAGTAATTTTAAACCGGACAGAACTGTTTAAAGGACTTTATTTATAGTTTAGCTTTATTTTATTTTTTTTTTAGTTTACTTAGTTTATTTAGTATGTGCTGATTTTTTTTTATTTTTTGAGCTTTCTTTTTTTTTTCTCGCGGGCGGAAAAGTGAGAGTGAAAGTAAAATGGCGTTTTGAAAGTTTTTCTTTTGAAAGACGGACTGGCTGAATTATTGCTTAATACTGTTTTCTTTTTTAAGTTTTTTTTTATCTTCTGGGAGTTTTCTAAATTGATTCTATTTTATTCTATTTTATTTTATTTTTAATCTTTTGGATTTTTTATTTTTTACTGGTATTTTTATGAAGAAAGGAAGATAAATTAAAATGGCTTCAAAACGACAACCAGCTACTACAGCTCCTAAGCTCTTCTCCTGTTACTTCTACTGGGCAACAACAACTTAAAATAATACCCTCAGTGCAGCAACCTAAAACTACTCCACCTTCACCTCCCCCATCTGGTACATCAGCACAAGACATTAAAGAAATAATGGTAAATGCTGTGTCACAGTTTAGGGAGGAAATGAAGCAATTGTTGGAACAGAATAAATCTGAAAGTAAGGAAGAAATGAAGCAAGAGATGAAGGAACTTTTAGAACAGAATAATACTATTTTGAGGGATGATATACTTTTAGCTTTATCTGGAGTGGCCTCAGTGGTTGTGAAGCTGGACTCTAGAGTGGAGGAAATTGAAGAAACAGTAGAACTTTTGGATTATAAATTCCAAGATATGGAGAAAAAAGTGGAAGCTTCACAAGATGATATTCTTATGTTCCAGTATAGACAGATGGAATATGCTTTGAGAATAAGAGGCCTGAAAGAAGATAAAACCCAAGACTTGATGGAAATGGTGATTAATGACTTGGCTGTTATTCTGAACATAGTTAAAGATGAGTTACGTGGGGAAGTGGAAAGAATTTATAGAGTTAATTCTTGGATTGCAAAACAGAAGAATCTGCCTAGAGATGTGGTGATATATTTTGCTAAGAAGTCTTTGCGAAATCAGATTCTGCAAATTTTCTACAACAAAAGATTCCAGATTGCTGCCCAAGATATTATTATATTAAAGGAAATTCCACCTAAAATTTTAAGAAGCAGAAAAGATTTTGCTTTTTTAGCAAATGAACTTAAAGCAAGACTGATGCCATTTAGATGGGAGATTCCGATGGGTATTGTCCTGAGCCATGCGGGGACACGTTACAGACTTAATACAGTTGCTAAAGCTAAGGATTTTTACAAAATGGTCCTGGGTGCAGGCTCACCTCTGCCCATGATGCACAAAGTTTTGACTGATAAAGAGATGGAACAGAAACCGGAAGGTACAGGTGTGATGACTGCTGGACAGGTGGTATGGATGTCCCAAGCAGAGGTTAAAGAACAGAGAATGACCCGTGCAGCACATAAACGCAAAGAAAAAGAACAACAGAAAAAAGAAAAAGAAATCAAAGAATCTACTCAGCAAATTGTCTCAATGCCGGTGGGAGGAGCAAGACCCAAAAGCTCTACAACATACTCTTCAGTAGCAGAATTTGAGGGGATCTTCTCCAGGCTCAAGGCCAAGGGAGATGGCAAAGCTCCTGACCTGGAATGTTAATGGATTAAATATTCCTCAAAAGAGAAAAAAAATCTACCATTATTTAAAGCAACACAACAATGATATTATCTGTTTGCAAGAAACTCATATTACATCTAAAGACCAAAAATATTTAAACAATCCTCGTTTGGGATCTCATTTTGTATCTCCCGCCCCTGGGAAAAAAGGGGGTGTGGTAATCTATGTTAAGAAGAATTTATCTGCTATCCTGTTAGAATCAGATCCTCATGGAAGATATGTTATGCTTGAACTTGGTTTATATGGCAAGAAAATTCTTATCGTGGGGCTGTATGCACCAAACCAGCAACAGGAGCAATTCTACAGGTTGCTACATCAGAAAATAACCTTGTTGGATTATAGATCTGTGATTTTAATGGGAGACTGGAATGGTGTCTTAGATATACAAAAGGATAAAAAAGGCTCTTCTACTTTTTTTAAACAGGCTAAGCTACCTAAAGCCTTCTTTGACATGAAAGAAGATTGGGAATTGAGAGACTATTGGCGTGAACGTAACCAGGAAGAAAGGGACTTTACCTTCTTCTCAGATAGACACCAATCTTTCTCAAGAATTGATTTTTTTTTGATTACAACAGATTTATACAACAGGGTGAAGAATGTAAAAATTTTTCCTAGGACATTGTCTGATCATAGTCCAGTTTGGATGGAACTGTTTGCCGAGAAAGAAGACAGGAGATCCTGGAGGGTGAATGAGAATTTATTTAAACAAGAAAAAAATGTCCATAAACTAAAGGAATGTTTAAAGGAATATTTTGCTTTAAATATGAATAAGGGAACATCAATGTCAATGGTGTGGGATGCAAGTAAAGCTTTTATGCGTGGTATTTTGATAAAAATGAATAACTTGCATAGACAGAAACAGATTCAGAAACGTAAAGATTTAGAAGAGGAGATTAAATTAAAAGAGAAACTCCTAATTTCAAATCCTTTAGATGAAAAGGTGAAAGGAGCTATAAAACTGTTAAAAACACAATTTAACATGTTGATGGCTGATCAAGCTGCAACCAATTTACTATTTATGAAACAAAATACATTTTGTAATGCTAATAAACCAGGGAGATGGTTGGCTTATCAGTTAAGAAAGAAACAGAAACAGAGGAATATAGATAAAATAAATTATAATGGTAAATTGGTTTATCAGAAAGAATTGATTAAGAAATCTTTTTTAGAATACTACCAAAAATTATACAAGAGTACTAATATTCAAATACAGATATAAACAATTATTTAGGTAAAGTTAATTTTCCTAAATTAACAGAAGATCAGGAAAAAGAGATTAATGGTTTAATTACTAAGGAAGAAATTGTTACAGCTATTAAACAATTGAAATTGGGTAAAGCGCCGGGTATGGATGGGTTGACATCTATTTATTATAAAACTCTAGTAGAAGAGATGACTCAACCGTTGTGTGAATTGTTTAATAACTTATTACAGGGGTTAGAGATCCCTCCATCTTGGCGTAATGCATTTATATCACTGATTCCAAAAGACAATCAAGATCTTACATTGCCTAAAAATTATAGGCCTATATCTCTTTTAAATGTGGATTATAAAATTTTTGCAAAAATTTTAGCTAATAGGTTTATGGGGATTTTGCAGCAGATTATACATAAGGATCAATCGGGTTTTATAACTGGAAGGTATATGAAAAATAATGTTAGACAAATTATTAACTTATTAGAGTATTTAGAAAAGAATAACCAAGTCTCTGCAGGCTTGATATTTTTGGATGCTGAAAAAGCCTTTGACCAAGTGAACTGGCAGTTTATGTTATGTTTAATTAAGGAGATGAATTTTGGACAAAATATATTACAAGTACTATCTAATATATATCAAAAACAGACTGCTCAACTTATTGTAAATGGGGGTTTGTCAGAGGCTTTTGTAATAGAAAAAGGTACAAGACAGGGATGCCCGTTATCCCCGTTATTGTTTGTTTTAACATTGGAAATATTGTTGATTAAAATTCGGGAGTCTCAAGAAATAAAAGGAATAGAAATTAATAAAAAAGAATATAAATTAAGAGCCTTTGCAGATGACTTGGTTGTTACTTTGTCTCAACCTACTTGTTCGGTGGTAAAATTATTACAATTGATCCAACAATATGGACGTGTTTCTGGTTTTAAAATTAATAATAATAAGACCAAAATATTAGCTAAAAATATGACTAATGGTGATAAACAGGTTCTAGTTAAGTTAACAGACTTTGAAATTGTTGATAAGGTAAAATATTTGGGGGTTACATTATCTGCTTCCAATGCAAAACTGTATAAAAATAATTATGAAAAGTTGTGGACGGAGATACAGAAGGATTTAAAAAATTGGAACAATTTACAGTTATCCCTTATGGGTAGAATTGCAGTTATTAAAATGAATGTCCTGCCAAAGTTTATTTTTCTGTTTCAAATGTTACCTATTTTAAAGAGTGATCGTAATTTAGATGAATGGCAAAAAAGTATTAATAAATTTGTTTGGGCAGGGAAAAAACCAAGGGTGAAACTTAAAATAATGCAAGATTTTCGTGA